GCTCAGTACAAAAAAACAGAGAGATGCCATTCTCTTCAGGTTTCCACAGTTTCTGGGGGAGAATCTAGCATGTGTTTATTATTGTTCCCTGAATACAGTGTCTTTTTATAATAAAACCTAGTGGTTTTATTTGCCTTTTAGTTTTTTTTGTTTGTTTGTTTGTTTTTTTACCAGGGATCGAACTCGGGTCCTTGCGCTTGCAAGGCAGGCCACTGAACCACTGAGCTAAATCCCCGGAGCCTTTTAGAATTTTGACTGTGATGTGCATAGGTGTGCTTTGCTTTTGACTTTTTCTTTTCCCGCTTGTGACTTGCTGAAGTCTGTGTGTTGATACCTACCATTCTCCAATTTTGAACATCTTTGGCGACTACATATTCAGGTATTGCTTCTGCCTTGTTTTCTCTCCCTTTGGGGCTGCTTAGGGAGCTTTGTGCTGCTGGGACAGTATACCTGACACCACACTGAGGGAGGGGCGCACTTCGGCTTTGGGTCAGTGGCTGCCTGCTCCTGGGAGGTGCAAAGCCGCTTGCCACAAAACCACCAGCAAGCAGAGAGCAGGCCAGAGCCCGAGAGCAAGGAGCCAGGGGCCAGAGTGGTCCCAGGATGACCCTCTCCCCGGACACATCCTGAGGGAACCTCTCTCAAGCCGGCCGCTGTACCAGTTCTACTGTCTCCCCTCCAGGTGAGCTAGTTCTGACTTCTGACTTTAGATGTATTTTCAGTTACAGCACGTGCCCTGGGCTCTCTCCTTAGAAATTCCTGCCATCTCTGACCTGGCCCCGTAGGAGCTGTGGGGAGGTGGGGCAGGTGGCCTGGACCCTCGCGCCACCTCCTGTCCATCAGGGGTGCTTTTCATCCTCAGGGAGCTGGGGACAGGTGACCACTCCCACCTTGTGTCCGGGAGATATGTTCCTCATATGGGGGGTGTCCTCTGGTTGAGCTACTTTGTGGGGACATCTTGCCAGAGCATGGGGCCTCTTACAGGCCAAGAGGGCAGCTGATGCCTGCTGTTGGCACCCCGTGAGACAAACTCTTAGGAGGGATGGGGCAGGACTGAAGTGACAAGACACAGAACTGCAGGCAGCACGCCCTACAGGATCAAACTCTCCAGCATCCCAGGCCCTTTGGTGCTGTTGGGATGAGAGACAAGGAGATGGAGCAAAAGTCCTGTGAGGGAGCAGGGCACGTAGCTCAGTGGTGCTGCTGCCTGTCTGGAAAGCACAATGTCCTGAGTTCGATCCCCGGTACAAAAAAAAAAAAAAAAAA